CCCAAAGCCAAAACCCTAAACCCCAAACCCTAAACCCTAAACCCCAAACCCTAAACCCTAAAACTCCAAACCCTAAACCCTGAACCCCAAACCCCAAACCCTAAAACTCCAAGGTTACCTATAACCCCAACAAATACCCCTATATGACCCTATATAATATTGTAGTTTCCACTTTCTTTTCCATTGTCCCTATACTATAATAGTTTCCATTTTCTTTTCCACGATCACCCTAAACCTAAACCCTATATCCCTATCTAACCCCAATATTCATCCCCAATTTCTCTGAACAACTCCAAGGTTAAAACCCTAAACCCCAAACCACCAAACCCTAAAATCCTAAATCCCAAAACCCCAAACCCTAAACCCCAAACCCCAAACCCCAAACCCTAAAACTCCAAGGGTGTCTGGCCTCTGAGATGCCCCAGGTCACCACACGGCCGTCCCTTCGAAGTGCTGCGAAGGCGCCAGCCGAGGCTTGGAGAGAACCTGGATAGGCTGGGTTGCTGTTAAGGAACTTAAATTAAGTTACCATAATGGGTGTATATATATATATAGTAAATAATGGGGTTTCCCCAATATAGTTACTTAGTTTAAGTTCCTTAACAGCAACCCAGTAGGTGCATTGGGGCTTAGGGGTGTCAGGGCTAGGGTTTAGAAGTGCTAGGGTTAGGGTTGGGGTTTGGAAGTGTTAGGGTTTAGCGTTTAGGGGTATTGGGGTTGGGGTTTAGAAGTGTTAGGGTTTGAGGGTGTTAGGGTTTAGGGTTTAGAAGCATCAGGTTTCAAGGGTGTTTGGGTTTAGGGCTAGGAAGTGTCTGGATTTAGGGATTTGGGATTTGGCGTTCAAAGGGTGCAGAGTTCTTGGAAATACGAGGATCGAGAGAGCTATGTAAGGGTACATAGAGCCGGAAAAAGGGAAAGGTAAAGCAAGAGGTAGTTTGCCAAAATAAGGGACCCCCGCATGGACAACAGCCCTCCCCAAAAAGTGCTCCATATTTAAAGGGACCCCCAGAAGAAAGGTACCCCTAATTTTGAGAAACACCCTCATATGGAAGCCACGTTAAGGTTGGGGGTTTTACCCTGAGACCAGCAACCTTGTCATGAAAACGGATGTAAGCTTTAGGGATTGAGGGTTAGGGTTTAGAAAGTCTGCTTCAAGATAAATAAAGAGTACATATAGAGGTATATAGCAATATAGATTTATATAAGGGAAGGGAAGAATACATAGAAGCTACTATAAGGTCTAGGGTGTAGGGATTAGGACCTAACCGGGTCTAGGATTTAGGGTTGGGGGGTTGGAGGTGTAAATGGGCGAGGACCCTGGGTTTGGGGTTTAGGCTGGGTGTATGTATGTTTATGCAAATGTGTAGGGTATATGCATATGTAGGTGTCTAAGACGGTCGGAGGGCAGCCAGGTTTGAAGGGAAGTCATGATGTGATATGGGACATAACCCTAAACCCTAGACCCCAAACCCTAAACTCCTCACCCTAAACTCTGAACCATCACAACCCTTAAACAAGCGGCTCGACCTTACACCTGCCGGAGACTGAGCCACCCGAAGCTTATTGGTTGGGCGGATCCCCGGGAATAATTCGGGTGTATACTAAACTACCACAGGACCGCTGTGTCCACCCTCAACGTTCGCTTGGTAACCCTAATATTGACAGTAGCTCATATAAGTTTTTCTTTAAATATGCTCCCGCTCTCCCTTCAGTTCCAATTGGGTAGTGGATCAATAAACCAGTCCCCAAAATGGCCACTATGGAAAAGGGTCTTCCCTTTGTGTGTCCTTCTACACGTACATGATCCAGAAAACTCTCCGCAAAGGACCTGTAGATCAACCCCCATTCCATAATTCCTTGAACAACTGTATGGCCCTAGACATATCCCCTAAACCCTATATGAACCAGACACCCCGATATATCCTTTATATAAACCCTGTATGATTACATATCTGAACCCTCGAAATTCCAAGCAAGCTGCGAACATCGTGAAGTTGCTTTTCAACAGCACTGCTGTCACCGCCAGAGTAGGTTTCCTTTGCAGCTAGGGTTTAGGGTTTGAGGGTTTTAGGGTTTAGGGTTTAAGGTTTTAGGGTTTTAGGGTTTAGGGTTTTAGGTTTAGGGTTTTAGGGCTTTAGGGCTTTAGGGTTTTAGGGTCTTGGGGTTTAGGGTTTTTAGGGTTTAGGGTTTTAGGGTTTAGGGTTTTAGGGTTTAGGGTTTAGGGTTTTAGGGTTTAGGATTTGGGGGGTCATGGGTTGAAGGGTTTATGGGTTCAGGATTTGGGGGGTCTGTCTTTAGGGCTTTGGGTTCCGATCCTACTTCAGATCGCTTCCATTGGGACTTGCAATGATTTGCAGGAAGGATGCTCGCTCCTCGCTGGGATAAGAATTAAGTCCTGACTTCATATTCCTAATTGAGCTTCAATATACCTAAGTTAGACATCATGTTAACACGTCCCCAGAAGAAAAAAAGGGGGCTTAGGAACCCTAAACCGTTAAGGGAAGCCTATCGAATAGCCATACAGATGATGGAAGAAACCTTGCCAACATTTAGAGCCAAACAACTACACTTCTCCTTGTGAATGTGGTTTAGATTTCAGGGTTCAAGTTTTGATCATGACTTCCTGCATAAGCGTACCCAGGAAGCCCTAGACCTAAATCCAGAAGCCTAAGCACAAAATCCTGAAGATAAATCCTCTGAATTCTAAGCTCCCCACTCTAAATCCTATACCCCCAGAAAAACCGGTACCTTAAAGCCTAAACAACTGAAATAAGTTAACCCCAGTAGCTTCAGTGCTGCAAAGCGTCACCCCAGCTGACCACGCGGCCGTCGGCCCAAAGCACAGCGATGGCACCCGCCGTGGCTTGGACCTCAACGGCCTGACATCCGGGAATCAAGGTCTAGGGGCTTTAGGGGTTTCAGGGGCTTTAGGGGTTTTAGGGGTTTAGAGGTTTAGGGTGTTAGGGTTTAGTATATTGGCGGTTATATAGGGATAATGGAAAAGAAAATGGAAACTACTAGACTATGATAGGGTAGATATTGGAGTTATAGTAGGAAATGAGGGAATATACAAGGTCAGGCTTCGTAGAGCTTTCTGTTTAGGATTTACGCGAGGTTTATGATGCTATGGTTTGGGGTTGAGGGCCTGGGCTGTTCTCAGGTTTCAATCCTTTGCGTTTCCGTCAGCAAGTGCTTCTACAAGGGATATTGATGTAAACTCGGGCCAGGCGTGGAGAATAACTGGATTGCTGTTAAGGAACTTGAGTTAAGTTACCATAATATGGGTATACAGTAAAAAAACAGTTTTCTTGTTATAGTAACTTATTAAGTTCGTTAACAGTAGCCCAGTAATACAGCGAGTAGGCTTTCCCTAAGTTTAGGGTCTGGGCTGAGGTAGTGCTGTAAGCACGGAAGGCTTCGCACCATGGAATGTGATTTGGGAGCCTAGAGATATGAGTCATGATATGAGGGTTTCCCAAAATTAGGGTACCCTTGTGAGATCCCAACAATAAACATTATAGAGTTTTGGGTCTAATTATATTTGGGTCCCCCTATTTTGGGAAACTACCATATCTGGGGATTACAAAGAGGGTGCGGGGGTCCTTATGAAGGATTGTATGGAGACAAACTTCGATGCAGACCTTGACTTTTAGGGTATTACACCTAGAAAAAACCTGGACCCCATTCATCCCGCCCAAAACCCAACCCCTCTCCCGGCGCAAAGGAACCAAACATGGAACCCCCCAAAGTGAACTCATGGCTGCTATATTGGCGAAACTAAGGGAGAAAGAGGAGGGTCCATGTTTTGGATCCGTTTAGGAGTCCTGCAAATCCTATATTCTACAAAGAGCCATGTTCCCACAGCCGAACCTTATCGCTGCTACATTGGCGAAACTAAGGGATAAAGAGGAGGTTCCAATTTAATTTGGGATCCCTGAAGAGGCCTGGAAATGGCCTGGAAATCCTATCTTTCACAAACAACCATGTTCCCACGGCCAAGCCTTTTTAAACCTCAAGCCCGCGGCCGCCATCCTTGCCAGATCCTGCAACTCACACCTTCAACTTTATGTGTACATTGTAGTTTCCCAAGATAGGGTATAGTCCTTATTTTAGGGACTTCAAAAAGGTACCCCTAATTTTGACAAATCCCCACATTTATATTCACACTAATCCCCACAGAAACAATAAGCCCCATATTCTTCCTACAGCAGCCCTACCCAAAATCACTACAGAAATCCTTTTAATTAAAGGGACCTCCAAGTCATCCAGATCGGTCTGCCGTGTGTCCAGGCCAAACTCTTTGGACCAGTTCACCACCGATCCGTCGGCTCTCAGCCTGAGCTGCGCAATTTGGGGTTTGGGGGGATTGGGCTTTATTTGGATAATGGAAAATAAAATGGAAACTGCTACAATGGGTTATATAGGGTTTCGGGATTAGGGATTAGATGGGTTTAGGGCTTTGGGATTTGAGGGCTGGGGGGGAGGGCTTGGGGGCTTGCATGGGGAAATTCAAGCTTATGGGCTATGTAGCGCGTTGGGCAGGTTTTACTTTAGTAAGGGATTTAGAGTTCAGGGGTAATCGTTTGGGCAACTGGGGGAGGCTTTTGTATGGGATTAGGGTTTAAGGATTAGGGTTTAGAGATTAGGGTTCAGGGATTAGGATAGGTGTTGGGAGTTTCTGGCTTAGGGTTTAGGGTACAAGGTCTAAGTTAAGGCTTTCGTTCTCAGGATGTAAGCGACCAAAACTTCTCCACTGAGGAAATTCAAGATGCCTCCAATCCTGTAACTGTTATATGTAGGTGGAATCACGTTTAAAGGGGTGTAAAACACGTGTAGTTACAACCCCTAAACCCTAAACCAAGCGGCAGCACAAAGCCATACGCGTGCCGTCTGGAAAACAGGCCTTGGTTGGGCGAACGGTCTCCAGATAGGCGTACCCCATTTGACAGGACCGTTCATGGGATCATAGGAGTGTAGATGGCTTGGGGCATAGGTTTCTCAAGAAGGTAGAGGCATTGAAACAATCGAGGATGTATAGGGATTATCAGGAAATCATGGGGTCCTCCTGAAAGAAAGGTAAGAGAATAATGTTTGCCAGCTAACCATTGAGCCTGCCTAGAGGCGTGTTGTTTAAGTCTGGATAGCTAGCTTGCGAAACTGTAGCATGGTGTATGACAAAAACTGGAATCAGGATTGGACCAGCTATCCAACTAGAGTAAGCCAGACTGCTTTCTTGATGTGTTCAGGTGTAGCCCACGCTGTAGCGGATGGGATGTGACCGCAACACGGGCCAATCAAGCACGAAGGAGCCACTGCCTTTAGGGCTTAGGGGTATCAGTTTGGGGTCGTCCGGAGGCTTGTTGTTAGTGGAAAAGATTACTCCGAATGTCCAGCGTGGGCCTAGTCATAGCAAAGAAACCACATTGAGCCTGCACAGAGATCAGGCATGCAAAGTCATGATGGTGCCTCATACCTTCTGGTGAACGTTGATGGTCCAGTCCCGCAGGCCCTCAAGTACCTCATGCCTTAAGAGTTATGGTATTACTGTACAGTCAGGCAGGATTTCTAGTATCAACAGTAGCACTTTACCATCCCTACCTGAGTCAATTCTTCACTTGGCCCCACCATGCATCCGCTAAGCACCGATCATAAAGGCCCTAGATGCGAGAGCTCTAGGCACCTTTGATCTCGTAAGACCTAGTACAGGGGCCTAAAGAAATATGAATATCACTTGGAGGTCCATTTCAAATACCAAGACCATAATTGTATAAGGAATATGGAGCCGTACTATCGGTAATTATTTAGGCCCCTATAGTACACCCAAAACCATGAGACCCAACACACAAGCCCCTGGAGCCCTGAGCTCCATCCGAAGCCCTCAGCCCTTAACCCCTGAAACCTTAAACCCCTACGGGCGCAAGTCATCCAGTTCGTATTCCCCAAACCCCGAGTATCCAGGCAATTTAGTAATTACTTGGACCCTCTAGTGAAACCCATGAAATCTAAACTGCTCCGAACCATCAAGCTCAAGAAATACTCAGGATACCTGAGGCATAATGCCAGTAAAGGAAGCATAGTCGTATGCAGTTTGCATCCCAAAGGTTCTCCTTTTGGCTGCCCGCTCAGGGTGGTTAGGGTTTGGCAAGCTGTTCTTACATAACCCTGAACCCTCAAGCCCCAGACCGTTCAAACTCTGAACCCCTAGAACCCTTAAACCCACTAAAGCACCTAAATTCCCTCAAAACCCCAAACCTTAAACCCTAAACGCGAAGCGAGGTGCATGGCGAACGAACTGCTGCAGTAAGCGTCTCTCCCTCCCGCAGACCGACATCTGCAATTCTTCCTTGTCAGAGGGCTCAGAAGGTGAAGTGAAGGAAGATTATAGGTAACCTTGGAGTTTTAGGGTTTAGGGTTTAGGGCTTAGTGTTTAGGGTTTAGGGCTTAATGCTTAGGATGTAGGGTTTAGGATTTAGGGCTTAGGTTTCAAAAGGTGAGGTAAGGAGGGACCCTTTAGCCCACCTACCTTCATCTTACCTTTTGAAGCCTCGGGCCTTGGCAGCGGGTGAAAGTATGGTACAGGGATTTTGTGTGTGACTCTTACTTTGTCACTGTAAACCGCAGCAGCCCTTTGGCGCGC